GACTAAATCGAGAATTGCCTCTCCCCTTGTGGGTTCCTGTACCAGCTGCTCCAAGAAGCAGTCATTTAAAGTATCGAGAAATTTTGTCTCTGCATTTCGTCCTGAGGTGACATTTACCCAGTCAATATGGGGATAATTGAAATCCCCCACTATTATTGAGTTCTTTATTTTGATAGCCTCTCTAATCTCCCTTAGCATTTCATAGTCACTATCACTGTCCTGGTCAGGTGGTCGATAATAGATCCCTACTGTTATATTCTTATTAGAGCATGGAATTACTATCCATAGAGAGTGGCCATCCCCTGTGTATCAATTGTGATTTCCTCACCAGGTCTGACTTATGTTCAGTACTTGCAGTTTCCTCCCTCTGGGACCAATGTCCGTGGTATCCAGTTACCAAACAGCCTTTTAAAAATATTTATTTTGAACAAAAGCATTTCAGAGAAAATAGATCTTAAAATAATAAACAGACTCTATGGACATCCAGGTGTCTTTCACATGCGAATCTTGGTAGATTTCACTTCCTAAAGACTCCTCAGCAGAGTCTTTCTTTGTCAGCTTGTCTCCTTGGACAACATTCTGGCAACGGACAACCCGCTCCCCCTCAGAGGGCTTTTACCTGTTTGGTATCCTTGTGATCTCCAGGCTCCCAGCCGGACAAAACAAGGCTTGCAGCTTCGCTGGAGACAGAATAGGATCCTCAAAGTCAATAGCTTTCCCTGTTTCAAATGTATGCCAGGATGTTCTTATTTGGGGAGCCACTGTGGTGGCTTCCTGTGCAGTCCCCACTGAATTAAAACAGTATAGGTATATAATATAAAGTCTCTCAATAACTAGGTTACCTATCAGTATTCTTTGAATACACAGCAACTCCACAACAATCACAACTAGTACCCAGGTTTCTGGGTTCCCCTCGGTGCTAGGAGAAAGTGAGATATATTAGGAAATGGAAAGTTTCTATCAGAACCCAGTAATGAAAGGGAGTTAATAGGAAAGCTTGTGGGAATCATGTTTGAGAATAAATACATCTCTATCATAATTCTTTAATAAACAGTGGAACAGGGATCTGCCATTTTTTTTCTGTTTAACTTAGGAAATGTTCAGGATTTGAATGCATGACAGAGACTGGAGACTTACAAAGTTATTTACCTTTTATAATATCTTAGAGTTCTGTAGCTTGCTGTGCACTAACATCCCATGTGGACACTGCTACAGTGCAGTGAAAGTCCTGGAGTGCCACAAATATAAATAAGTAAATAGGATCACTTTATCAGTAAGATTTTTTTTTGTGTGACACTGACAGTCTTGCAACCTCAGTCTGGGATCCAAGAATCTACATAGTTCTTTACTACTTATGCATCATCATCTGTCATAAAGGTCCTGCAAATAAAATTCTGCCCTTAGAGAAACCAATACAGCCTCAGTGGAACTCACTGAAATTTTGTAAACAATTTTGTTGATGCACAGGAAGGAACAGAATCCAGCTCACTGTTAGATAAGAGATAGACATAGCAGTTGATTTAGTTTATCACTGGAATAAGCAAACAAGACTTTGGAATATATCTAGGGAAGGAGGTGCATTTATATATAGTCACTTTTCGGAGTAGAACTGTATTTTAAAAGCATATGTGAGCTTCCAGTTTTTCTCACTCATTTGAATAGTGAGTGTGATTTCCTTTGCCACAAACTCTCTCATTAGACTGGACTTCCTGCCAAGGAAGCAATAAAATGGCAGCTCTCAAACCAAGAAAGACATGCAGCAGGGGTGGGGAGCAGGGTAGATAGTGGTTGCCTTATGAAGAAAGTAGGGAGTATGATGAGTCACCCTCTCTGAAGGAAAACATTTTTTCATCATCTCTGTTTGGCCCCTCAGGTGTCTCCACAGTTTGAAAGCACCGTGTCAACAGGCTTCAAGAGATGTCAGAAGCAGCGCCATGTTGCCCACAGCTTCCAGAGCCGGGATGATAGTCGTGGTTTCCTCCATGTGGGAGGAGTGTGTCGGAAACAAACAGTCTGCAGATTTCCTCCTTTAATGTTTGAGGCTCCACAGGCACACCCCTATGCTGGAGCAACAGGGTACTCAGACTCTTGTGATAACCCAGGGAATTGTGCAAAGACATGCCATATCCAGCCAAAGGGGGGCACTGCAGCAAAGCCCAGTACCTCAGTGGGTAAGCCTAAGAGCTGTAGAAAAGGGGCCTCTCAGTTTCCTAACCTGGATGCTGAGCCAGATGTCTTCAGTCCACCAGATCTACGGACTCCAGAGCTGCCCTCTGTGAGAAGCTATGGATGCAGTGGTACTCTGCCACAGATGAACACCCTCTCTCCAAATCCACATAGTGGCCTTGATCTCTGTGCTGATACCACTGAGAGCCTTGAACCAACATCTTTACTGGTCAAGGATACCCCAGAGCATGAGTACGGAGTGAAGGTAACCTGGAGAAAACAGTCTCGCCTGATGAGATACCTGAGGGAGAAGGGGATGCTGAGCCCAAGTGACATCCTAGTGAAGACTGTAAGTGCTGATCCCAGTCAGTGCTCATCCCTTTGGAAAAAGGACACGCTGCCTTTGACTTGAGGGGCACAATAACTGAAATCCCTCTTTGCTGGCTCCAAAAGCAACGGGCATTGCTAAGCCTAGTTGGGAGATCAGTAACAGGATAAAGAGAAGAACCAGGACTTATACTGTAGGCTAAGACTGCTTGGTGCTGCAGAGAGATGCTTCCCCCCGGAGTGCTGTCTAGCCTGACGGAAGATCAGTCTGTACTGGATAGTGATGGGCGGGGGCGTGGCTGAGAGGTTCCTATTCTCCAAGAGACTTTCTATACCAACCCCCGGACGTGTCCTTCCCAGCTGG